TCAATGTGCACAGAGTTACAAACACAAAGTGAGAGAGAAGCACAGGGTGAGCAAATCCTCAATGTGCACAGAGTTACAAACACAAAGTGAGAGAGAAGCACAAGGTGAGCAAATCCTCAATGTGCACAGAGTTATAAACACAGTGAAAGAGAACAGAGGAGCCACGCAGCTCCTTTTAAACCATCCGCACCTCCTCAGCTGTGATAATTGGCATAATGAAACCTCCACTGGCCCCCATTGCCCTCACACTGTCACTGCAAGGCTGGGTGTGTGGGGGGGTGGTAACACATTTAAATATTTCCCAATAATTAGGGGTCACTGGCATGACCTGTGATGCAGCAGATGTGTTTTAGGATAAATTACTATTTTTACAGGTGTGTCATGGGGTACTAGTCGTCTGATTCAGACAATAGGAAGCACCATCATCATCATAGCTGTATGCACAGGTAAGTTTAAATATCATTAATGTATGAAACATTAGCAGTAAATCAGGAGAAAGTAGCAGTTTCTGGTAAAATATTCAACACACTGTCAGGGCTGCCAGCTTTGAGGAATTTGTTGGAGTGAAATTTGGAGTGATGTGGAGTTCGGGGGGGCATTAGGTAAAAACATAAAATGGTAAGGAGCTACATCTTTGTTTGTATTTACCAACATTACACATCACTTTGTCTTTGAACGCTGCTCCTTTGTACATTAAGTGCTGTGTGATTAAGCACATTTCAGTGTATAAGTGTCAGTTAGCGCCCCCCCTTGTTGTGTTTGGTCGCTGCACTTTTAGCTGCTCTAATGACGCTCATTGGTGGCTCCCCCTTGTGACCATCAGGATTAATGTCACCCACTTTGACTGTCATAATGGATGATGAGGTGCCATCTAGGTTCAGACTGTTTCCTGTTTCAGTTTTATTGACACCAGTGAGTGAAAAGATGCGCTCAGCACCTGCATCGGCGTGCGGTCGGGTGAGAGCAGGTTTGGCGCTTGCTGATGATCTAGGGAAGCTGCTCATTCCAATGACCTATAAAAACTGGGTGGGCATAAGTACAACTTACCACACCATGATAAACAACTTACCACACCATGGTAAACAGCTTACCACTTCTAACACTGACAGAGGACTAAACACAATGCTGTATTCTACCATAATGAGAAAAGCATTGCAGCACATCAGAAATAGGCACTGGGTGTCCGTCAGATTACTGCACAGATCCACTCACTGCCAGTGAGGACGGCTTCCTTAATTATAATGGGAATGTGCTCAATTTGTCACTGTCACTCAGCCACACGCATGCAGTGAGGAAATGGCCGTTATTCTTTCTATAGACCCTTTCTACAGACGCGTCATAGATGGAAAAACAGCTGAAGCACATAATGTTACTTAAAATAATGTTAATTAAAAGGAGGCTCTGCAGCCGAGCAGAGTGCAGAATACTTAGGTAATTATACCAGGATCCTTAGTAGTTTCCCATCTACTACACGCCTATGGAAAGACCCTATTCATAGTGTGACATAGGAACTAATGTGGATGGTAGTTTTGTAACAAAAAGGCAGCAGCCGCGTGTTGTGGACGTGCTCTTGATTCATTAAAAGGGTGTGTGGTGAGCCTCTGAGATTGAGCTACCTGAGTTCCAGCAGTATCCTTTAATATAAAAAGTGGCACAACAGTCGCTTTAACCTCGGACGCTACATTGGTGGCAGCGGTGTCCCGCTTGCATTGTAATAAGCCGTGTTTTTTTTGGTGGGCATTTTGCTGGATTTTTTTATTGGAGCTGGCAGGGTGCGAATCGGTCT